AGGCTGCCAGGAAGGTCTTGTCAGCAATTTAGTGCGGAGATAAAAGAAGAAGGAGCAGGGGATTGTTAACACAGCGGTGCTGCCTGACATCTGGACAGGCCTTAGTGTGTGATAAGATGGAGGGGTTGTAGGCAAACCTCTGATGCTTCAGCTCTCGCCAAGGCAGAGCTGGGACTCAATGGCAAAAAAAGCACGTCCATGTGGACATAGCCTGGGCTGCCCAAATCCCCAGCAGATGAGATATGTAAAGGCCTGGGGTCCTTGCTCTGATGCTCATTGAAGTTAAAGGTCCTTTGGTCGGCTTCAGAGGGATGGAAGCTGAGAGGTAGATTATCTGCTCTGTACATTTTGACTAGGGGGGGATTGGAAAAAGAGAAGAAAAAAAATCAAAGAAAAGAAAGCTACTTTCAAGAAAATGAGTCCCCGCTCTGTGCAGGGTTTGGGATCCCTGGAAGATGGAGGATACTGGCAGGATGTGAAGTGAGCAGTCGGAGGTGGAGGTGCAGATGTACTTCCCAAAAGCTTTATACCACACAGAGCTCCTGCGTGATCCACTCTAACCAGCAAATAGAGTCGGTTGGATCAGGCACTAACAACAGCAACCACTGGCATATTAATTACTGGATAATACTTCTTGTTGCTTTTCCGTGCCTCAGCCAGCTTTGAGCTAGATTAGCTGACTTTCAGTGAAACGTGGACACAAATAGGAGGGTGTGTTAGGTATGGCCTTAAATGCCTCTGGCTCTTTAACTCCCTCCCTCCTGCCCGCCCTGGCTTTGATGAAATTGAGACCAAACCCAAGAACTAGCGTTTTAATAGTTCTTGTAGTAGGTTGCACCCAACACCTCATCCGCTTCCCTGCACAGGAACCTCTGAGGAAGGCGCTGAATACGTGCGCCATTTTGCTGCTCGGGCCCCATTTCTGCTTTCTGCTGGCCCAGTTTTGTGAAGCTTTGCTCTGCACTGGAGGAAAACAGGGAGACGAAACCTCCGCTTTAGGGACTTCTCCTGTGAGGGCAGAGCTCTCTGCGCAAGGAAAGGTGACAGTTTAGTTCCAGCAAAGAAATCAATGCCGTGTACGCACTGCCTGCCTTTTTTTGGTGCGTAGCCAGGAGACACAGACAGACATTCCCTTTTTCTAAGGGCAAAGAAGACAGTGGTTAGCCGTGGAAATAATTTTGGCTACTCTCTGCTTTAGAGATAACGCTCTCTCCTCTTTGTGAGAGATGCTGGCTTAGATTCTTCTTCTCTCTCTTCGTCCACAGGTGAGAAGAACTTCAAAAACTAAATCCAATATATGAAGGCAGTGAGGGAAATGTTTAATTGTCCTGACTCTGCTGCAGGCTGATAAGCTCACATCGATTTTCTGTAGCAAAGTCTCCAGAGCGTATGTGGTGGTGTGTGTGCATGTACGTGCGTGAATGTTTCTTACTCCTTCGTTATTTCTAATCGCCCATTGAGTGGCGAGAGCGTGACACTTCCTCCAGAAAATGGCCATTTACAGAGCAGTGAGCTTTTTCCTCCTTGTTGTGCTTTCCATGGGCTAATGACGGATGTCGCTGTGTCCAGAATGACTCCACCCTGCAGGAACTTATCTCTTGGTCCGAATGTCTTCGCCGTGTAAGAGAACAATGAGAAGGGGATCATCACATCAGCCGTTTACCCTCTTGTTCACGTGGGCTCAAAGCTTTCTGGTGGGAGGTTCAACCTGTAGAGGCATAAGTCAATGGTGACTGGCTGCAGCGTCGGCAGAGAAGAGCGCTGGAGTCTTCTCGTACTGCCCGTACGTCCCTTCACCATGTACAGAATTATCGCCGTTAATTACTGAGGACGTGGAGACTGGGTACAAACGTGAGAACATAAGTCAATACAGGCAATACAGGGCACGCTCGCATTAAATTTTTTTTTTTTTTAACCAATTTGGCTCTGAAAATGCCAAGACATTAATTCTGGAGCGTGATTGCACTTAGCCGGAGGGCAAGGATCAGAGAAAGAGAAAATGATGCAGCAATGAGCAGAGACAAGGTCAAGCAACCTTGCCAGCGTCTGGAATCTGGTTGCATCGGGCCAGCGCTCACTAGGGTAGTTTGAACGCTGAGTCTAGCATGGAGGCCGAGGCCAAAGCCAGCAGTGTGAAACCTCGCGGAGGTGTCCCCCCACCATCTCCACGGGGCTGGATAGAGATCTCAGGAGAGAAGGCTCTCCACCAGCAGATATCCCTACCCGTCGCAGGGTGCATATTCAGGAGGCTAAACACCGCAGGGTCCAGTCTCGGGGTCTAATCCCTGCCTATTTCTACTTATAAACGCAAACGGAGGGAATAATACAAGTAAAGCCAGTACCAAATTGAGCTTTTACTAGTAGCTCGAATGATCTTGCACCAGAGGGACACAGAAAAATTACCAGTTAACTTTTTATCTGTTTGTTTTGAGGGTTTGGCTAGAAATAAGCAGACACAGCAAGAAAAGATGTTCCATCAAGCTTTGTAGCTCATCTCTGAAACCTCTGGGCTCCAGAAATGTTGCATGGCTAGCTGGACTCTGCTTGTTTATCTCACCTGAGCTTCCCAACCCCCTGAGATTTTCCCACTGCTAATTGTAAAAAATTAGCCTGTCCTCAGTGATGGAGAAATGTCCAGACGAGCCAAAAAAAGGAGGCAAGCAGCGTTGAGATGAAAAAAAAAAAAAACCCAGAAAACTCCAACCTCCCTGGAGATGTAATAGGCTTAGTAGGCCTGCTTGACACATGTCGGATAAAATAAAATTAGAAAAAAAACAATGTTTATAAGAAGATTAGCTTGAACGTGGTGAAATTTCTCCAGGGACTGTCCACGTCTGACGCTCGAACCAACAGCTCCCAGGGCCTTATCAGCGTAATGAATTTCCACCACTGTGGGCCATTAAAAATTCTCCCCCTCCCATCCCTTCCCCTGAAGCCGCTTTGATTTGGGCGGCTGAAGACGCATCTGCCGGGGGACAGTTCAATTTTCACCATGTGCGGCCCTGTCTGCCGTCCCCTCTCCTCGGCAGGACGGAGGTGAGGCGTTGGGAGTTAACTCAGCGGAAATAATGCAATGTGACTATCTAATTTGTGACTGTGACCCCTCCAGGAAAAAGACCTGTCTCGGCGAAGCAGATTATCCTCAGGCTTATTACTACATTGTTCCAAAACAAATCCCATAAGCTTCTGCTTATAATCACTTTTGTATACGTGTAGGCAAACGGCTCGGCGTCCGCGCAGACGTATCGCATATGGAGATGCAGCGAGATCTGTATGACGCTGGTGACCGCGCAGCCCGCTCCGCCGCGGCGCAACGGGAGAGGGCTTCACACCCGCAGCGGCGAAAGCAGCCCCCCGGGCAAAGCTTAAATTAACGGCCTCGAGCGGGGAGTGAAGATGAGCGGAAGCGCTCCCTTATCTCATCACGCAACCACGCCAGCCCCCGGCCCGGTAGCGCGCCGAATCCTTGGGTTCCCCTGTTGTCTCCGGTTGCGGCGGACATCTCCTCTGCAGGTGGATGGGAGGTGGGAACCCTCTGCAAGGCCCCATGGGCTCTGCTGGGTTTTCAGATAGGCGCTTTACACGGTTTAGGATGGACGTGGTGGTTTCGTTGGAGAGTGCGGTTATGGATGGGCATGCTGAAAAAGGGTCTGTATGGGTCTAAATCACGTTTTGCTCTCTAACCCAAGAATCACAGAATGGGGGTGAATTAAACAAAGGGAGAAAAGTGAAAACCGAGGAGATGCAGGAGCAGCCGAAGGAGCAGCCAAGGCGAGTGGCAGGGGGGGGGGGCCGAGCTGCCCCGTGCTGTCCCCGCTCCGGTTCTAGGTTAAAAAACACACTCCAGCGATGCCTTCAAAGCGAAGCGCATAGCTTGGCTGTCTGCGGCAATGCCTCTGGCTGTCCTCGTGCAAGGTGGCTCAGCAGCCGAGTGGCGAGTCCACCGAGGGAGCCGGGACAGGACGGAGGAGAAGCTGCTCTCTTGAGGAGCCTTCCTGCCTCCATGCAGACCTTCTTGGCTGAACCACCGGGGATGCAGCCAGGTGACAAATTCTGTGGGGCAGCTGGGGTTTCCAAGCACAACTTCAAGTAATAGAGCAGGTTGCTCTACAACGCGGTGAAGGAAGTGCATTTCCATAGGGGTCTCTCTGGCCCTGTGAACAGCGCTGTAAAGACTTTGTGAACTCGGCTCAACGGCGGATGTTTATTTCCACTGCAGCGCTTGTAGGAGGAGGGAATATTTTTAATAAAGATACTGCAATAGGTCTGATCTAAAGAGAGAGCTTATAGGCTTGAAAACTTACCCCGCTTCCAGTCTCTCTTTAGGTCAGGTCTGAGGTCTCTGACTTAAGGCAGGGCTCATGTGCCAGAAGCTCGGCTATGTCTGCCAGCCGGTTGGTGTGACAAAAAGAAATTTTCCTTCTGTCTGCAACCTTTGCCTTGCTGCTGTCGTGAGGCTCCCATGGCCGCAACAGTTCGTCTGCTGGTTCCACTGTTTCTTCCGTGAATGTCATTCTGCTAAAAGCTATAATTATCATATTTTTAACCCGTGTACCTCAGTGAATCAGAACAAATATACTCACGCTACTGAATGCAACAGTAAAGTGGCTCTTTTATATCCCCTTAATGGTGGGAAACCTGCTCCGTTGCTCAAGGCCACGAAATGTTGAAAGTAAGATATCCTCAAGGGTCTAGTGATATCCAGTTGCTGGCTAGGGCAGTTGCGATGTTTTGGTGATACCTCCAGGGGTGCCTGTCAGGGAATTCATGGTATCTGTGGCTCATCTGGGGACGTATTTGTGACTTATTTCCAAAATATATGGTGGCAATATTTGTGGGGTGTCTGGTGAGCAGCTTGTGATATTTGGGATATTTGTGGCATGTGGAGGACACGCTTGTGGTACTGGGGAATTCGTGAGGGGTGTGTGATATTTGGGTATTCGCGTTTGGAGGGTCTTAAAGAGCTTGGGGTTTTCAGAGAAGTTCTCTGTGTTTTTCAGGTGCTTAAGATGGCTTCGAGATGTCCGAGACCACTAGTTATTTTCCGAACAGTCGAACGCCAGCTCCAGCCTGGTGTACACCCGGTTATCGCTGCTGCTTTTGAACGTGCCAGAACTGATGTGCTCCAAAAGCTGACCACAGCTTCTCCCCTGCCGGCAACCAGCACTTGCATCACGAAACCCTTGCTCGCCCTGCCGTCGCTTGGCATACTCGCCGGACCTTGACAGGCTGAGTCACCCTTGCTCGCGGCCGCGATAAAGCCCTCCGAGCACCACCGGATTGCGTCTCGCTCTGCCTGGCCTCGCTCGCCCCCTTTTCGCTGAGTTACGGTCTTCCTCCCTGTTGTCATCTCCCTGCTCCGCCATGGTGAGGATGTTATTTATTTGTATTTATTTGGGAGGGGAGGGGCTGTTCAGGGAGATGGATTATGCGCCCGGGCTTTAAATATACTGAAAAGGGAAGAAAGAATCTTCTTCTCCCCCCCGCCCTCAATCTCCACTGGTGGGCTCAGCACTAAATCCCGTATTTTTCATCCAAATGGAATGGTTTTATCTCTTTACAAAAATAAGCATTAAAAGTTACAAGATGGATCGCCCGCATGCAGGTCTTCAAGGGCTGGAGGGGAAGGCAGCGGAGAATATTACGACTGAGACGAGGCTGACGGAATAAGTCAGTAATGTGGGTGTAACTGAAAGGCGGATGGACCATTCATTCCCATTATGAAGAGGTGCACTACCATTAATAATGATTTTAACAAGAGCTGGCCTGAGCTAGCAGGTCTGGGCTACGTTTCTGGAGAGTGAATTTTTATTTAATAAAAAAGGCTCTGCATACAAATGAAAAGGTATGCCGGGCTCACTTCTCCTACCTGGTATTTATTATTGCTTCACCTGTCTTGAAATAGGAACATTTATTTGGCCAAGGCGTGTGAAAAGGGCTGTGCACGCTGTATTTGCTTTGTTATAGCAGTCACCTCGCAGCAGGCTTTTGTCTTAAAGCTCCAAAAGGACCACTTTGGGGCTGATTTCTGACCAGCTGTAACCTCTCTTAGGAGAAAAGGACTGCTTCACCCGGACGTGGCTGGGCTTCCACGCAAGGAAGCAAATAAGCATCCGGAAGTCTTTTATTTCTGTGTCTGTGAAGAAGGAGATGCTGTGTTTCTAAGGCCGTTCATGTGAGTCCCATAGGCAGCTCAGCAAGAGTGGAGCTTGTAAAAACTTCTGATTTTGCTAGGGTGTGTTTCTGTGTCTCCGGGTCATCTGCAAAGTCAATGGAGCGTGGATTCAGAAGACGGAACGTCGCTAAGACTTTTGCCCATAAAACCACGTCTTTTAGAATAGATAATGCATTCCTGTCTAAGGAAATACATGAATAAAAACCTCTGGGTCTTTTATGAATCAGCCATCAGGAAGAAAGCATTTAATCTTGTTGATTTAAGAGAACAGGGAAATTAGCTGTTAACCTGGCACTCCTTGCCTTCTTTATTTTTTAGGAGAAAAAGGGCCTGCAGCCCAGGGGCTAGTTCAAGCCCACCTCCTCTTAGGTCGTGGGGCTACGCAGCACTGGTTCACCAGCAGCACGGCCCTTCTCGGGAAATAAGTCTCTCCCCTTCACTGATGCGGTTGGTTTGCCTCTTTGGACCCGGCTGGTGGGGCTCTCAGAGGTGACTCGCTCTGGCAAGGACAGGCTGTCGGGCTGACCAAAACCGCCTGAAGAGATGGGATTTTTGGATAGCGCTAAGCAGTTGTTCTTTGGAAATCAAGGTGATCCTACGTGTCACCAGCTGGGCACCGGGAGATAGGGACAACGCGGTTTCATCAGTCACTGTTACGCTCTCGGTCCCTGGATCTCCGAAAGGCCAGGAGAGGTTGCGGATTTGCTATTTTTGCCGTGTCGGAGAAGTACATGCGACAGCCGCAGTATCTGATGGAAAGCTGAGAGCAGAGCTATCTCCCTGGAGAAAGCAAGGAGATAGGTAGATATCTTTTCCTGCTTATTTAAGCGAGCTTTTCTGTGATTAACTGAGCTACTTACACCTGCTTTCCGAAAAGGCGCTCTCCTTTGTGAAGAGGATTGCGCCTTCATTCTGCCTGTAGCTCACAGCAAGTCTCTCTGTTTGAACAAACAGGAGCTTAATTTTGCTTTGTTAACAGTGACTGCAACTCAAGGTGGCGAATCTATTTCCTCGTCCCCGGCTGTCCAGCTTCTCCCTCTTCTTCTCCTTTCACCCTCTCCTCCCCTCCGCACTTTGCCCCGTACCCATACATCTCTCCTATTTTATACCTGCTGTTTTGCTCTTTGAGATTTGGGCGGTTCAGATCCATCTGTTTCTTCCTGATGATGAAAAGATACTGTATCGTAGGTGGCACAGGCAGGGCCCTCTCGGAGCCGCGGCGGTAATGAATGGTAATCCCTTAATCTGCGGGTTAAGCGAGAGACCGCATTGCCCGCTTTTTCCCCTCCTGAGCACACAGAGGGCTCAGACCCATAAGGGCAGAACTGCCTAACATGAAATGGGGGGACCATATCCCTCTTAGATATGAATAAGTAGGTATTATCAGACATTTGTTTGGGGGTCTTTCCCCCCCTTTTTGGTTGTTTGCTGTCATAATCTGGGGAGACCATTTTTGCCACAAGGAAGGAAAACAATTTCTTTCAAAATGTTAAGAGGAGTTAGTGGTGAAGTTTACTGGGAGGTGTTTTCTTCCCTTCTGCCCTTCCCCCGGCATCAACATTTTTATTCAGAAAGGAGTCTGAATGCCGGAAAACAACCATTTCGCTTGGACCACTTATCGCGTTTGATCTGGAATTTTCTTGAACGCTTTCATCCAGTCAATCAAAACCGTTCAGCTCTCAGCCATCCAACGTCAAAATACCTTTTCTGAATTTTGTATATGTCGGTCTTTCAACACCAACAAGAAGTAACTGAAGAAAACATCAAGATGATGCAGTCCCCACAGAAAATTGCATTTGGATGAAAAGGCCTTTTTTTGTTTCCTGGAATGATAAGTTTGAATAAAAATGAAGTATTGACCAGCTCTGCCTCTGATGGTCTCCGTGTCTCCTTTTTGCAGAGGGAGGCACCCATGCTAGCCATACCCCAGCAGGTACCTCTGGGCCACGAGCATCCAGGTCACAGCGACGCAAGCTGCGTCCTCACGCCTCCTCTTTCCCACCGGCAGACTTGGAGCTCACAAAGGCACCAGCCTAGCAGGGAACGGTGGGGACTCCGCACAGCGTTTTGACAGCCGAAACTCCCATCTCTGTGCCCTGCGTCGTGCCTTTCTTCTCTTTAATTTGCTTCGTTCTTGTTATGTCGCTCGGTTCTGCGTTTCACAGGGTAACTCACTCTTGGGTGGAGGCCGGCGTTAAGCACCTTCAAGCCTCCAAGAGCAGTCTTTTAAAATCTCACGTTGGCTCTGTCGCAAGGGCGGATTTCATCCCTGGACCAGATCAGCCTGGAGTTGGAAAGGGCTAAGGGATGTCCTCAGCTGCACCTAATGTGGCGTGATTCAGGGAGCAGGGATGCTTTTCTTTCCCTGGGGGCATTGCTCCATCGTCCGACAAGCCTCACTGCTGGAGTACGTGTATTACCGCCAGCGAGCAATATTACACATCGGGGCGCTTATTTACAGGTGAAAAAGTGTTTTTCAGCTGAGGTGATTTAAGTTGTATTTGTTCATTGTCCTCAGCTGACGTGAGCTCGCCCTAAGCCTTGGCAGGCGTTGCTGGGGCCGTTTGCCATCGCAGAGCTGGGTGTGATTTGCCCCTGCCCTGCAGAGAGCTGGAACTGGGTCAGCATGGGAAGTGGGTCACGTCTCCCAACGGGGCAGGGGAGAGCAAGCTGGGAGCTCCTTTGGGGGGCACCGGCTGCTTTTGTGTGTGCCAAACCACCCCCCAGGTCTCTGCTGTGCTCCCACGGGCCGAGCCAGGCAGGATCGACCCTGGTTTTGCCTGGGTGTAGGGCTAGGGAGCGCTTTCACCTTTTCTCAGCATCAGCAGGGTTGTGGGAAACCTGAAACCTGGGCTTTAAACTGAAAATGGAGACTAATAACATTCTTCTATATGTTATTAAAAAAACTGCTGGGTTAAACAAGTACCACACATTTCCACGCACCCAAGAGAGCCGTTCTAGTTCTAATGAAACCTCTAATACAGAAAAGCACGAATATTTCTTCATACAAGTCTCTTTCAGAAATGCGTCTCTGCTCTGTACATCATGAGGCACCGGGAGAGGCCATCTCTGAGGATCTCTAAGCGATCACAGTCATGGCCCGCCGTTTTCTCCAGCCCTCACTCGCTGATGAACTCTGCAAACACAAGCTGGGGGGGTTCACAGGTGAGGCACGTTCCCAGCCAGAACCCACTACCGGAGTGAACCCAGCTGCTGGAGGATAAAAAGGGAAGAGCAGTAGTGGTTTGGCAAGGGGTGGTTGGGCCTGGGGTTGTTTGTTGGGTTTTTGTTGCTTTGCTTGTGTAAAGAGCGCTTTCTGTCTTTTTTTTTTTCTTCTCTTCCAGGGCTAATGATTGTTACCCCCTAAAATGTTCCTTTTTTTGGCCCCTTCTCTTTGCAAGAGCTAAAAGGCTCTCTGGCCATGCCACTGCTCTCCTTTTGCAGTGTTTTGTGTGTGAAGCAAGAGAAGGTTCTGGGGAGGTAGAGTCTGGCTTCAGGTGAGTTGTTAAGCCATGAAGGGACACCAGCTTTTTCTCCTTTTTGGTGCTTGATTTTTCTCTTTATCTTCTAGTGCCTGGAACAACCTTCTGGTTTCTGATATTTATCTGCAGGAAACCCTAAATGGTTAGAATGGCTGTTTGTTGAATGCATCTTGTTCAGTGTGCAGCAACAGCAGTGCTCCTTGCCACGTGAAGGAAAAATAGTGGAAGAATGTAGGTATTCCACTATGTGCAGATGCTATGTATGTTATAGCTGTGATGTGGATAAAACCAGCTGTGTTTAGCCTTAGTTTTATATTACCTTGGATGGGTGAACTGGAAAAGGGAAGAAATGAAACAGGAGTCACACATGCATAAAAATTAGAGATGGAAAAGACCTAGGTCATCTACTCAATACTTTTCCTGCCACAGTATGATTATTCCTGGACTGAAATCTCAGCTTGGAGTTATGGCTGGGAATACATTAACCTTTAAAACAATGCCATTAGAAAGTTATATATTTTCTTTAACCCAGATGTGAGGAAACCTGGGAAATGTGCAGTACAGGTTGTAGTCTGGGTGAGTGGTCCCCAGGAAACGCTTATTTTTGTGAAGGAGAGCCCAGTCTGATATGGCTCACTTTGAGCCAGTCTCAAGCTGGGGTGCATCTGGCCAGCCCACGACTCGAGATGGGGCGGCACGTGTGCAAGGAG